CAACAACACACGCTGCATTAGGATTAAACTCTTCATCATTCTCTGGATGTTTCATAACCTCAGAAACTCACAGCATGAAAATCCTCATCAATCACTGTGAAGCAATGACTGATACTCAGATTATATAACATGCTGTAATTAATGTTGTTTAATAATCAGATTTATCTCCAAACCTTTGTTACAACAAGTACCATGACATCATCACGAGACTTTCACCCTCTCACACTCTGATGTTTGAAGCTGAACACAAGAAATTCAACATGGATCCAGTTTCTCTAATGTGTTCAGTTGATGTAGTTCAGTGGAAGTTCAGAGATTGAATCCCGTCCTGAGGCGGGAAAATAAGGGAGTAACAACAATACGGGACTAGCTGCAGAATGTGTTCCATAAATATGGGATGGCTGTCGGCGTGTGAGCACTGGAAACGACCTGGAAACGACCTGGAAGCGACATGGAAACAACCTGGAAACGACCTGGAAGCGACATGGAAACGACCTGGAAACGACCTGGAAACGACCTTGAAAAAACCTGGAAACGACATGGAAACAACTTGGAAGCGACATGGAAACAACCTGGAAACGACCTGGGAACGACCTGGAAGCGACATGGAAACGACCTGGAAACAACCTGGAAAAGACCTGGAAACGACATGGAAACAACCTGGAAGCGACATGGAAACGACCTGGAAGCGACATGGAAACAACCTGGAAGCAACATGGAAACGACCTGGAAGCGACATGGAAACAACCTGGAAACGACCTGGAAACGACCTGGAAGCGACATGGAAACGACCTGGAAACGACATGGAAACAACCTGGAAGCAACATGGAAACGACCTGGAAGCGACATGGAAACGACCTGGAAGCGACATGGAAACAACCTGGAAACGACCTGGGAACGACCTGGAAGCGACATGGAAACGACCTGGAAACAACCTGGAAAAGACCTTGAAAAAACCTGGAAACGACATGGAAACAACTTGGAAACGACCTGGAAACGACATGGAAACAACCTGGAAGCAACATGGAAACGACCTGGAAGCGACATGGAAACAACCTGGAAGCAACATGGAAACGACCTGGAAGCGACATGGAAACAACCTGGAAACGACCTGGGAACGACCTGGAAGCGACATGGAAACGACCTGGAAACAACCTGGAAAAGACCTTGAAAAAACCTGGAAACGACATGGAAACAACTTGGAAGCGACATGGAAACAACATGGAAACGACCTGGAAGCAACATGGAAACGACCTGGAAACGACCAGGAAACGACATGGAAACAACCTGGAAGCAACATGGAAACGACCTGGAAACGACATAGAAACAACCTGGAAGCAACATGGAAACAACCTGGAAACGACCTGGAAACAACTTGGAAAAGACCTGGGAACGACCTGGAAGCGACATGGAAACGACCTGGAAACGACCAGGAAACGACATGGAAACGACATGGAAACAACCTGGAGGCAACATGGAAACGACATGGAAACGACATGGAAACAACCTGGAAGCAACATGGAAACAACCTGGAAACGACCTGGAAACAACTTGGAAAAGACCTGGGAACGACCTGGAAACAACCTGGAAACGACCTTGAAAAAACCTGGAAACGACATGGAAACAACTTGGAAGCGACATGGAAACGACATGGAAACGACATGGAAACAACCTGGAAACAACCTGGAAACGACCTGGAAACGACCCGGAGCCGAGCTGCTGGTGAAACTAAAAATATCACAAAAGTTCCTTCTGCAGTTTTGAAGGTTCAACATCTGGAATGTCTTAAAACATCTGTTAACTGCTCCTACAAAAATGCAAATAATTACTTCAAGTGCCAAAGAAATGCATATTTCTCAGTGCATTTATTATCTGTATATACATGTGTATATATATACATATATATACATGTGTATATAAATATAAACGTCATGTAACTTGTTCATATTTAAATCATCTCTGGACGATGAAGGTGAAACTGACTGTTTCTGAATGTTGGTGTATAATTTTTTACATTCTGAACATTCCCACCATATGTGCATGAGTAATGGGTGACAGCGCCCCCCCCCCCATTTCAAACTGCAGTAGAGTTAAATGAAGCTGCAGAAGAGCAGCGGCTGCAGCTCCACTCTCGTCTGTCAGCAGCATTTTTTGAATATCTGAGGGATGTTCCTGTCAGACTCCTCACTGTTTGTTGTGCTGGGGGGGGCAGAGTATCTGGGTGGGTAGGACTGAAGCAGGATTACAGACAGACAGAGTGCTGACAGATACCTGTACAGATTCCCATAATGACCTCAGAGAAGTGTGTCACCCCCCCCCCCAGCGAACCTCCCTGACAGTTTCTCAGTCAACCAGCTGACTCCAGCTCGGGGTCACTCACCCCCTGGTTGGGCTGCAGCGAGGCTTCGTGAGACTCTTTGGCACAGGCGGGAGTTTGATCTGGAGAACAGGGCGTGTGGAGAGCAGGGTGTTGGTCGGACGTCAGGAGCTGAGACCGGTCCGCCCCGCCCTACGCTCCCGGTACAGAGTCCTATTGTTCAGCTCCTGAGCTGCAGAATTCCTGCGGAGTGGAGGAGATTCCTCGCGCTGTAATGGGCCATTATGTTGGTGTTCAGTCTATTCAACAGACTAATGAGTTCTACCAGCAGCTCCTGTCTCAGGGGAGCTCCTCCACAGAGCGGACCAGCTCATTGTGTCGGCCCCACGCCGTTAACCTCTTCAGGGTGGAGAGACGTGGAGGCAAAGCTCCTGCAGATTGGAGCTGAACAAAGACGCTGAGTCACGACGCAGACGCTGAGTAAAGATTATAAAGATTAGAGTCAGAGAAACAAACAGCAGCAGAGGTTTGATAAAGGTGATCAGATAAAACCAGATAAAGGCTGCAGGGTCATAACAACTGGACTCATACTGGTTTCACTGGGAAAGACGTACATTCACTCACATGTACTTTAATGACACTTCATACTTCAGACATATTGACCTTTTTACAGAGCTGATGGAGTGACCACATGTAAGACCTGCAGCTGGTTCGAACCGAGAGAGAGAGAGAGAGAGACACAGAGAGAGAGAGAGACAGAGAGAGAGACAGAGAGAGAGACACAGAGACAGAGAGAGACAGAGAGAGAGACAGAGAGAGAGAGAGACAGAGAGAGAGACAGAGAGAGAGACAGAGAGAGACAGAGAGAGAGACAGAGAGAGACAGAGAGAGAGAGAGACAGAGAGAGAGACAGAGAGAGACGGAGAGAGAGACAGAGAGAGACAGAGAGCGAGAGACAGTGAGAGAGAGAGACAGAGAGAGACAGAGAGAAAGAGAGAGAGACAGAGAGAGACAGAGAGACAGTGAGAGAGACAGACAGACAGACCTGTTATGTCCCCCCATCAGTGTGCTGACTGGACTGCGTGTGTGTTAACTGATCACAGATCAGCGGTTGTCCTGTCAGGTGCAGCAGCTGGTGCTGAGTGATACAGCAGGTTAAAGACGCAGCAGCGTTTGAACTCCGCCCAAGAAAAACTTGTTAGACATCCATCATGTAGAAGTGCGACGCAGCTCATTCATCCTGCTACAAAGAAAACAAAAACTGTGAGACTCTTCTACATCAAAAAGTGGAGTGAGTCCAAACTGGCTGAGTGTGAATGTTCCTGATGATCTGCAGGATTTCACCTTTAAAACAGATTTATGTTGAAAAGAGTTTCTCTCAGCTGCTGTAAAGTTTGTATTTTCATGAGTTTTTCCTCTGAAAACTTTGATGAGACATTTACTGAAGTGAAGTCAATTCATGCAGAACCACGAGGTTCATTTAGGTAAAAAACAGACTGCTGGTAAAGGTAGTTAAAGGTAGTTAAAGGTAGGTAAAGGTAGTTAAAGGTAGCAGCTGTGAGTGAAGGTGATGACCTGCAGCAGTCATCAGAGGGTCGAGCAGCTCGATAAGAGAAGAACAGACTCGGGTTTAGTCGAACTTCACTGAGTCAGAAATCAAAGTGTTTGAACCAGAGATCACAGAAACCCTGAATCAGCTGATGGAGAGATGTAAACACGGCTTCAGCTCTTTGTCTCGTCCTCGTCCACATCAACACGTCTGTCTGTCTCTGTCTTCATCCTCCTCTCACTCTGTCTCTTGTTTCTCATTGACACTGACTCACACTGAAGTCTGAGTCTTTTCCAGCTGCTGAAACTGTCACTGAATCCTGCACAAGAAGAAGATGAAGGAGATGAGGTGTTGTATAAAGCTTTATTAACAACATGGCTCCTCAGTGACGACACATTTCATAGAAATGACAAACGTGATGCACCAATATGGTGAATATCAAACAATATGTAGAAAGAATAAATATATCATAACAACAATTTACAGATTCAGTGAAATCATAAATTATGATGAAAGCAAATACGTCTGTGATGTCATCAGTGAGAAAGAGTCCAGCAGGTACAGTGACCTTTGACCTGACGTACAGGAAGTGACCTGTGACCCAAATACAGCAAATAGATTCAGTCAGTGAAAACAAGAGAAACAACGTCACAAAGTCCAAAATCCTTCGACTGTTTCAACCGAGAGACAGAAAATCCCCTTCTGAAATATCAGAAGTAGAAACTGCCTCATTGATCAACAGTGATTTGATTTATTGATCTTTAATTTTCTGATGAATCCAGTGAAATGTTTGATGTTTTTCTTTGATTCCAGAGTCTAAAAACATCAAGGAACATCCTTCAGTCTGCAGACTGAGTCCAAGTCCACTTGGTCTCCTGGTCTCCTGTCACCTGGTCTCCTGTCACCTGGTCACCTGTCACCTGGTCTCCTGTCACCTGGTCTCCCAGCATCGTCTCTGACCTCCTTCCCCTGTCCTATGAGGTGGAGGTTGAACTCCTGCTCCTCTGCAGACACCTCGCCACTCCGCAGCTTGAAGTCAACATGGAGTCAGTTTTCTGACTCTCCGGTGTCTTCCGGGGGCGGGGGGGGGGGGGTGCTGCCCCAGCCCCCCCCCCGTCAATGGCTGAAGAGAATGGCCTGTGGTGATGAAGCTGTTTCCCTCCCTGTGTTTGGAGATGTTATAGGTTTTCTGTCGTCTCTACGAGGCCACGCTCTCAGCCTCCCTCGCCCTCGCCCTGTGGCGCCGTGTCACTCTCCACTTCTCCAGCAGCAAGCGGGTTTTCAGGGCGACGCCGAGCACGTCAAGAGACACCTGCTTCTCCATCCTGCAGACACAAAGAACCATCAGCCTCAGTAAAAGGTGGAGCTACAGCTGGGCGGAGCTGTCAGTCACTCAGACGAGCGGCGCCGTGAACTGAGAGTTTGAGTTTCACAATATGAAGGAACATGAGAGCAGCTCTGTCCTCCTTCATGACACCTGTTTATATAACTCACCTGTTTCTGTTTTATTAAGGACTAAAGTTATGGAGGATTGAGGGCGTGGCCTCTGACAGGTGGGTGCCGTCACAATTAGTTAGCTGCTAGCTGTCTGCTCGGCTAATTGAGTCAGTAATTAGCAGGTATCAGTGTCTGCACTCACCATACCTAGCTTGTTAGTTTAGCTTGTTAACTAGCTAATTTACCAGCTCATATATTAGCCTTGTTTTAGCTTTCGAGCAAAACCCCCAGCTGTGCTAACAATGCTAACGAGACCGTATGCTTGTCACAGTTATTAAACCATCGTGGACCAAAGTCTCTGCTCCACCCACGCCCCTCCTCTTTGACCATATTTGGATTAGCTGGGAGTTAGGGGGCGGGGTCAGACACTGATAACATGGTGACGGAGGAGCAGCTCACTCTGAGCTTCAGGAACCTGTGGGTGACATCACAGAGACGATGTCCATCTTTATTTACAGATTATGGCTCCCCCACCTGTCACTCAAAGAGGCCACGCCCTCAATCCTCCATAACTTTAGTCCTTAATAACATGTAAACAGGTGAGTTATATAAACAGGTGAGTTATATACACAGGTGTCATGAAGGAGGAAATCAGCTCTAGAGACCAAAACAGTTTCTGTACCAGGCTGTAAACATGTTTATTTCTGCTGTAAAGTTGGACATTTTAACATGGGAGTCTATGGGGACTGACTCACTGTTGGAGCCAGACTCTAGTGGTCGTTAGAGGAACTGCAGCTTCTGGTTCTTCACTGTTGATGGCTTTTGTGCAGCACAATTTAACTCCATGAGATGTGACAGGTTTTATCACAGAGCTGCTCAGAGAACTCGTCATCTCTAACTCTCTCAGACTTTCTCAGGTTTCACTCTTGGAAACAGGATGAGATATTTTCCCTCCAAAAATCTCTGTTGCGTGAGGTTTTAATTACTGATACTTCAGTGGGTTGTTTTACCTCTTAATCGCGCCCGTGTCTTCTGCCAGCTGCTGTTTGTTCTGTGTCTCAGAGCAACCGTCGCCCGGGGGGGGGCGGATCAGCTCAGACCTGAAAACACACGAGGAAAGCGGATCACCTTCAGTTACTCCTCCGCGGTTTCCAAACATTTAACCATCATCAATCAGTTCTCACATGATGGAACAAACACTGATGATGATGATGGTGATGATGATGATGATGTTTGGTTCATTAGTGTAACATGGTAAAATCACCTACCTGCGGCAGAAGCTGCTGCAGCTCTCGTCCTCCTCACGGAGACACCGGCAGCGCGCTCCAGCACTGGTTACCATGGAGTCCACGGCCGCGCGCTTCGTCCTGGGAGCGTTGCCCAGTCCGTAAGAGACCACGCGCCTGGGCAGAACGGTGACAATGTTCGAATGAATCAACGGAAATGAACGATCAAACCCGAACAGGTTTAATAACAAAATATCATATATGACGTTTTAATGCGTCTAAAGTCACATGATAGATGTTTCGAATTAAAAGTCAAATAGATTAAAGAAAAACTTCATTGTATTTTCAATTACAACCTCATCTGACTCAAAATCACTTTTACTGTCAGCCTCTGATTTCTGTATCAGCCTGTTTCTATTTCCAATCACTAATCAATCAATCAAACTTTATTTACAGCACTTCTCATAAAGGTCAGTGACTGATGAGCTGAAGAGAAAAAACAAATCAATATATAGATTAAAAAAAAAAACAATAACAACAACAATAGAAAATGAATAAATAAAAGAACAGATCAAAAGAATAAATGACATTTAGACCATCATTATAATAAATAACCATCTTTAAATAAAAGCTGCAGAGGAGCGTGTGGAGTTTACTTCCGGCGGCTCTCAGCTCCTCTCATGAACTTCTTCATCACTGAGAATAAACTGTATTAAATCCTGTCTCTGAGCTGACATCACGGCGCAGACACTCACTCAGGTGTGTTGACCCAGATGATGTCCAGGTGGCAGAAGTAGACGCACTCCTTGTCCAGGAAGGTGGCGCAGGAGCAGCGTTTGGTCCGGACGTGTCTCCGCGGGGAGGCGGTGGAGGCGGCGGGAGTTTCTCCAGAAGGAGCCGATAGAACTGTGAAGAAATATCCAGTTACTAAGTGTAAATTAGATGTGAACATGGCGGCATGTGACTGTGACAGCAGCAGATTCAGAGAGAAGAGTCACATTTAGATCATTAGACACAGTCTGAATCAGTTCATCAGTAAACTTACCTGTGCTCAGAGTCCAGGTGAACATCACTGACAACACGGAAATCAGCAGGTTTAAATCCATCGTGCAGCTTCTTCTCTGTCACAGTCCTGATGAAGAGAATTCATAAAATAAATAATCCTTAATGATCAGTTTCTGTCAGTGATCAGGATCCTCCAATGATCAGCAGCAGCAGCAG